ATGGTAAATCTATGAATGGAAAGATACCTTTAAAAAACACACTATAAATAAAATCGTGGAAGACAAATATTACCAACACATTCTTTAGACGAGGCACAGCTATAACAACACGATATACACGAACTATTTGAAATATTGTCAAGTAAGGATACGCTGGAGATGACTTGATCACTGGGACTTGTATAAAGCATGTAATAATAGCCAACAAAAGGTCTACATTATTCGCACGTGAACGAAAAAAGAACCGAAATTTTGGAGCATAAGAAAAAATTCTCAAAATCATCTCTAACGCGAGAATTAATGTGAATATTAGCTCCGCTCGATCTATATTCAAAAAAAACAATCCATCATAAGGATCAATTTGACAAATAAAATTTTCACATGATTTTTTTCCATTTCTTTTGACAATCAAATATCATACCTATAAGCAATGCAGTGCTAGGAGGCATATCATAAGTTCTAAATCCCATGATAAATAAGTCAATGAATATGCAAAAGACCCAAAAGTATTTTATCTTTTTCATTATGCGATCTAATTGGTTTGTTTCGACTTTTTTATGATCTTTTAACGTCCACTCTCCTTCATCATCCAACAATATTGGAGCAGACCTATAAAAATTTAATTAACGGTCATATGATTCAACTACCTGAAAATAAGAGTAAAACAAAAATAATAATAATTACTTGGATGTAGTAAATGCGGAATGAGAAGTTTCTTCACGAATTTTTTCAAATACTGTAACGATCACGGCAACAAACAAGTTAAGTAGCCAGAAGTTTAAAATAAGGATAGACAACACATAGTATAATGTTGCCCATCCATAATCAGTATCCATTGTTCTGTATAAAAGATCGGTCCAGCCTTGAGCTACACAAAAAAATTTAAAAAACATTAAAAAGGTATAAATAAATGATCAGGAAAATTTTCTGAAACAAAAATTAAAATATTACCTACTTGCTGCGAGCACAAAAGTTAGGACCATGGCGGAAAAAATATTATCATAAGACACCATATTGTTGAATGGATTCTCGGTTTCCTTATTGTTAAGAATATGATAATCATATTTAATATAATTGCGTATTCGTACAATTGACCAAGGTATTAAACATAAAATGTGTACAATACCGTGCAAATCTGTCCGACAGGACAGAGATATCCTTTAGGAAATGTTGGGAATTGTTTCTCAGTTAAGCTTATATACGGGTGATGAAGACCGTCTGATCCAACGTATCCTCCACACCATTGTTGTGAGATTATAAAATTGTTAGCGCCATCAGGATCTAACCATACACATCGTCTCCGAAATGAACCCTTGAAAGCTTGAATGCCAATAATACTAATGATGACAAAAAAGAAACTAAGAAAAGTAATTACATTAACTAATAAAGGAGCACTTGTTTTTAAAGATTGTAAGATAGTAGAACCACCACTAGTAACGGTTAACAATCTAAGACTCCTCAAAGTAGATAAAGCTTTGAATACATATAGATGAGATACACCAGAAAGCATTAACACCAAGTCAATCCAATAACAGATTACCGCTACCAAGTCTATTCTATTAAAACTGTGTCGAAGGAACGCTGTTTTAAAAATAGAACGTTTAGCATCAAATAGTAA